CCATAATGAGGCGGTGTCCGGTCAGCACACAGCCAGCCGGGGGCGGCGGCGGCGTCATCAGCTGACGGCACAGAAACGCGCCGCCCCCGCCGCCGCCCACCCGACCGTCCCACCCGATAGGAGCACGGCACGGGCGGCACGCCGCCTTCACGGCACGGACTGAGACGGCGGAGTTTATCCTCTTCTTCCGGCGGCACGACAGAGCCGTCTCAACGGGTCACACGCTGACAATCAGGTAATGACAGCGAGGGGGATTAGATGACGATAGGGTAGGTATGCATGCCAAAATAAAGAGTGGAAAAACAGCGACACTGGACTTGGAGCTAAGCAAGCTTTCACACGTCAGAAGATCGAGAGAAGATGAATGATGTGAATGATGTGCGGGGAAAAACATTAGCCCAACAGGACAAACGCATCACAAGTGAGTAATTCAGCTATTTTAAACAGGCAGCAGTCATTTGGCAATGGAGTAGCCATCGGCAGCGACTTCTACTTCTGACGGAAGTCCATTTCGGAATTACAGCTCACCAGAGCGCCGTGCTGGAGCGCCGCATGCCGTATTATATGTTCGGGTCGGGTATAAACCCTGCGATGGCCGTGCAGTGGACGTCGGGCAGGACACGGAAGTCGGAACCCGGCCGGTCGTCACGGCATCAGGACAGCCGCTGCGCCGCCGAGCCGACCTCAGATTACAACCGCCGGGAAACAAACGAGGGGACAGGCGGCCGGGCTATGGAACTGATTGTCAATGGAGCTGTCGACAGTCACAAGGCAGTCAAACCCAAAACCATAAATATTTATGCATGATACAGTGTCTGTTCATTAAAAAATTCAAGGTCAGCGATGCCAAAAGCAGATTATAAAACTGGAGGATTCGATAGAAGCAATAGTCATAAAACGAATCCTATGTCAACTTCTATAGCATGTAGAGTGTAGGCAATGACCGACAGCAGAGCCAGAAGTTTGTACGTCACGGCGCTGACGTAGGCACACGATCGCGCCTCTCGCGACCGGCCCCAGTTTAGTTGCCAGCAGAGCCGGTCCGTCCCGACTGCCGGTCCACCGGGGCTCCGTGGAATTAACTACCTTCCAGCCCGTCTGATCACCCTGTGTGGTTAGCCGTGGTGCCGTATTCACTGAGAGGCGCCACCTCGGGCGGTGGTCCCCGGTCCCGGGTCCGACGGTCCCCGGTCCTCGGTCCAACAGTTCGGCGGTACCCGGTCTGACGGGGGCCGGCTGCTGTCGCCCGGCGCGCCAGAGCAGCACGAGAACGGCATCGATCCGACCCCTCTCCCGCCCCGCCCCCTCCCTCGCCGTTGCCGTCGGGCGGCGCGTGGCCAGGGCAAGGTCACGGAGAACACCGGGTAGAGGAGAGAGCGGCGGGAGGAGAGAGAGGGGAGAGAGAGAGGAGCTGAAGGAGAAAACAGACGCGAGGCCGGCGAAGGTGGGACAGAGATCCGACAAAAACACTCGCGAAAGTGGACATTCAGTTGAGAAACGACACAGAAGTAGGCTGGATAGTGAGACGGCTGCCTAAAAAGCAGATGAGAGCGAGCTCGGGCAGGATTGATCGACTGATTGGTGTAATCAACAAAAGTCACAGCCAATTTTGTGCCTGCAGGAACTCCATATCCAAAATAAGAAAATATAAAAGGCACGCGAACTACCCGAACAATAAAAAGTAAGCCACGGGTACCCACCGTTGGGTCTGCGCGCCGAATATGTCGCACTCGGAGGATACCTGTCACCGGCAGCGCGACTCGCTCGGAACTGGCGCTCAGGAAGTAAACACTGACCCTAAACAGCAGCTCGATAGGCGGGTATCCGGTGAATCAGTCGCGTGTGCCCCGACATCGCCCGTTATGGACACAGGTACACACTGTTCAACGCTCACTCTTCAGAGCCTGACAGCAATCTGGGCGATAGCAGACCACTTCTGGCAAGGACGAATGGCGACCTATCGTGCCACGGAACTTGTGGGATCCGATAACACTTGACAGAATGGACTGCCACTGAATCAACACGTCTTAGGCCTCACCTCACCTGCGTCATCTAACTCAGCCCCAATTCACATAGGTAACTGATCGACACCCTTCAGATTCCGCCGGAACCAACCTCTGCAGCGCGTCCAAACCTACCCCAACACGCCGACCGAGCTTCCGAGCCTCTGACGGCACTCGAGCCGCACTCGGCGTGTCACCGCCGGCAGTGACGTCACGGAACTAGTGACGTCAGATCCGATGACGTCGGCGCGCAGGCCGGAAGTGGCGGAAAGGGCGGCCGCCGCCCCGCCGCCGACCTCCGCTCGCGCGCACAGACGGAGGACTGGTATGCGAGTAGCTACGCCCCCGGCGCATACCAGACGGCCAGAAATGCCAACCGACGGAATATCTCCACAGAACGATCAGACATCACCGCGCTGGGCATCACCGTCGCGGACGGGGACACTGAACACTGACGCGGCAAACTGCACACTGTGGAGGAGAGCGAGTGACGAGCACTCCTTTTTCTAATGATTCATTCATCTAGGTATAAGTTCTTTTGCATCAACAAGGTCATCCCCTTCCACTCCTGTCCATCACTGTGGAAGTGTGGACCATAATATAATGGGCCATACACTAACCCAAAAACTCGGACCTCAATCATCTTTCCCTAATTCACCTTAATTAGGTAATGAGTAATCTTTATCTCAATCCTTATTCAAACAACATGACCACAGACAAAAGTCACATAAAAATGAATGACCGAAGTTAAGTCTACAGGTCATAGTCTCATACAGGAATGGCAAGGTTTGTGGATTATCAAGTCAGCACCTACCGGCAACAATAGCGGACAATGAGCAACAAGGCTGATCACATGAAGCAAACACAAGCTGGGGACATAGCTCTGGTATGGCTGAGTTGAACGTGAACTCAAACTCAAATCACATTTCCTTCAAACTGATAACTCGTGCAAGGTTAAATCACACCGCCCAGCCATTCAGAAAAGCAGTGAGCAGTCTCCAAGTGCCTGTCCTCTGACTTGGTGGCTGGCCAATCGCTCAACACAGGAAAGCAACAAAGTCATTGGCTTGCAAATTGATCTGAGCCTGGCTGGTAGGTGCCTAGTTAGAGGGCACCGCTGTCATCCATAGCAGCACAGTGGGTGGGAAGTAAGTACCTACCTACCTACCTATATCACAGATAAAAGCACCTAAGCTACTGACATGAACTGTGTAATATCCATCACCCCTAAAGGAACTATACATTATACCACTTTTAACATGAGCTTTTGAACTGGAATAGCAGTTTTGTAGCTTGAGCTGAGACTGGCACAAATCAGGAGCTCTTATGGCCCAACGATCACCATAAGCAAAGATATTCCATTTCTTGTTCCGAAATCAGTGCCTTATGTAGGAATGTAATGCCTTCATAAGAATGCCAAGAATGCAGCCACCTCTGGCAGAAGCCAATGTCAGCATATCAGCATGCAATTGGTTTTGAATGTTCTAAAATTCCTTTTGTAAATACCATTTAGTTTCTTTTTTTTTCGCGAGCGCAGCGAGCGAAGCGAAGTCTTTTCAATATAACGGAAAAATCTCAGTATGAGCGGCCCGGCCCGGCCCGGCCTGTAACGCTTTTGAGAGGCTTATATGTATCTCAGCAACCGCTGGACCGATTGGCCTGCAGTCTTTTTTGCTGGGTAGCCCCATCCCTTCTACCCGTAATTGACTACTTTTGATACATCTCAGTGACCGTCGTGGCACGTGCCACGTGAAAAGTCAAGGGTGTCCAAGCCGCTTTGCAAAAGTAGTGATTTTGAGAGGCTCATATCTCAGCAGCCGCTTGGGCGATTGTCTTGCGATAATTTTTGTAGGGTAGGTAGCTGCATCCCTTCTACCAAAGGTCGGATACTCTTGATCTATGTGAGTTACCCCCACTGCATGTGCAAAATGCAAAAAGAAGAGGTGTCAAATTTGTTCCCATTTCAATAACTCGGTAATTACTGGGGCGATTTCGCTGAAACTTGACATACAGGTAGGCACCCACCAGGCAATGCATTCCCATGTGTTGCAGTTAGGGACTAGGGTGCTACTGCACGTGCGCACGTGCAGGGGGCGCTTCCAGATCTCGAGAACGGCTGTGCCGATTGCGTTCAAATTTGGCACACCGCTAGCGCCCGGTTAGAAGGGTGCTTTGCGTTGCACAAGCCTGTTGGAAATCCCTCTCACCCTTCCGCACGTGTAGGGCTCACTATCTCGCTCGCTCGTTCTTCGCCCAAAAGGCGTTTTACTAGTCATGTCATTATCATCTTTATTCATGGATTCTCATTATTCAGCTTCATGGATAATTATTTGCAATATTCACGTTTTATTTCCCACACACGACTAGAGATGACCACCCGTCAGCAGCTTGACAAGAGTGGGACACACAGTTGAGCTGCCTTTCCAAATTCCTGATTATGTAAGGCCAGACTGGAAAACATCCACAAACTATGCCAGACACCCGTAAGACCCGTAAGTGTCGGTATTCGGCGCAAGCAATCTTGCCCTGAAATTTCTGCATGCTTTGCGCTGAAAGTTGGGTGTCTATTTGAAGTTTTGAACCAAACCAAAAGACCGCTTTTACATGAAGCACGTGTACCTCTACCGACCAAGGCTATATCAACCAGACAGAGCATTCTGGGGTTAAGCGTCTGAATCATGCAGCTCACTATAGCGTTGTGCCGTGAAACAAGGGCCAGGGCTAGGAGTTCTGGTCCACAAAAAACGGCAGAGCCATGTGCTCAAGTCTGGCAGCGGCAAGGGCCAGGCAGCAGAGCAGCATATACTCCAGAACGTCAGCCTCTTCTCATTTCTCAGGCCACAGCACACCGCACAGAGCGCCGCAACCGGTAGGTATGAATTAATAGGTAGGCATCACTCTGATTTTTGGTTACATGCTAAAGAGCAAAGTAAAACATTCTGAAATACAACTTATATTTAAAAATGATACAATTAAAAAAATCAGTTTGGAACCTACCTTAATCTCATAAGATGTGAATGTCAGCAGAGGTGACTGACTTCACTTTACTTCAACTTGTGCAGGGCAGAAGCAGGAGGTCAAGGTTTGGTTTGAGGCTCACTTCTCCGCACCGATAACCTTCTGTTTCACCAAGAACACTGACTTCCCGGCAGTCCAAGACAGTCAACCAATTGCAATAGGTATGAGCTTCAATGATGCATTGATAGCAATAATACAAATTGAAATGCTTTAAAGGTATTATCAGGGTTTTTTCCAAAATTTCGGACTTACTCAGTGAAACGTGTAGAAGAAGGTGACTGAAGCCCCAATCCAAAGTCATTCGTCTCAAAATTGCCTAATTTTCCAATGGTGGGCCTCCAAAGTTTTCGCGGCTGCCAGCCGCGTAAACTTGCGAGTACTTGGTGGTCCATCTCTAAACGCCCATAGGGTTTACACTAGCGGAGACTTTTCTAAATATTTCTAGGGAAAATATAATGGATCTAGGGAAAACATAATGGATCTAGGGAAAATATAATGGATTACATTATGGATTACATGCTCCATTATATTTTCCCAAGACAAAATAGGGAAATATAGCATAGGTCCGTAACACAACGAACACAACCTTCTTCTCATTCTTCTCAGCTTCTCATTCTAGATATCCTGTGGGTTATCAAAATAATTCAAATTAAAAAATTGTGTTGTGTGCGTTCAAACTAAGCTCATCCCGAGTGTAATTCAAGAATGTCTTAGTTCAAGTAATTAAACTTGAAAGTGATATAGCTCAAGCAATGAAGAAGCTTGGATGGAACTAGTGTTGAATCAAAGTTACCTATCATTTTTAATGCTAAGTGCTGAACGTTACCAATAATTCGAGACATCCGTTGTAAGATGTATGACGCAGATCAACTTTGATCAAGTGAAGAAAATATATTTCAGATGAAATAATGTCAATGTTCAAGGCTGAGCGACTGGCAGATTTCGGAGTGAGCACGAGTGGCCTTGAGACATTCTGTTTCTGTAGGTACTCAAAATAAATAAATTATCATGTTGTGTGCTTTGAGGTTAAGTGTTATCAGTGGTGCTTCATGGTTGTGCTTTGTTGTTGGTGTATAGGCATGTTTTGAGCACATTGCAGCATGATATTGGTGGTGTGTAAAGCAACTGATCTCCGCAGACTTTGCACTTACTTGCAAAGCCTGCGGACTGACTTTGCAGACTTTGGCTGACAATGAGCAATGCATTGCTGACTGATATCATTTATTCTGTGTTTGTAGCACAAAGTACAGAAGTGGCACATACATTGTTACTTTGAAAACCTGATGTGAATTTTGATGTAGAAAATTGGTGGCTGACGTTGAGTCCTGACGTATTGTGAGTAGTGTACATCTGGTGCATTGAGCGCAGACTTGAGACCAGTGACGTTTGTATCAGTAGACTGTGTTTGAGTCTACTTATATGGGTAGTCATAAAGCAGGCGTCACACTTCTTTTTGCATGCGCTATACCCAGAGATGCTTTCTCACCAAACCCTACCAAACCAAACCTAACCTACAGCGCCTCTCTTCGTTCGTTCATGGTTGCAAAAAAAACAAGTGTGACGCCTGCTATACTACTACCCTTATATGGCCTTGGTTTGAGTGTGGTGACTGAGTAAGCTGGTGTGTATAGCCATGCAATAAGTGTTTTGAAATATATTTTTGGGACAGTATTGAAATGGTGTGTTTTGGCCATCTGGCATGGATGATGGAAAGTCACTAACTCAACTTCAGGAACGCTTCTTCATTATGCTCATCTAAAGCACAATGATCTATTTTCTCTTCGCAAGGATTGATTCCTAATTCACTGTCAATTATAACCTGGGCCAGAAGGTTTCGCTGAGCCACAGGGTTCATACAGATTCATCCACAGTGCTCAGCAGTGTATGTTTTCAGATTTCAACAGACTGTATTTTTTTCTGTATGTACATATGCATCATGCAAGGGTACAACAGATGCGGTATTTGGTAAGCAGTTGGCAGCAAGGTGGTGTTTGTACTTATTGGCAGAGCTAGTTGAGCAGGACTAAAACTATCCTAGTTTCTCTCCAGTTTACTCAGATCCGTCTCAACACATTGAACATATTGAAAGCGTTCATCCATGAAATGTCTGCATGTATACTCATTTCCGAGAAGGCACGCTCGTCGCTCATCCATTGCCGAGCAGGCACGTGCGTGCCCATCGCCGGCGCGCATTAGCGCGCGTCCATGGCTGGGGCGCACGCGCGCGGCCATGGCCGGCATGCACGCGCGCGCGCCCATCGTCGGCACGCAAGCGCGCGCCGCGTCCTTACCCGGCGAGCACGCCGCGTCCGTACCCAGCGCGCACCCGCGCGCGTCCACAGCCGGGGCGCACCCAAGCGAGTTCGTACCCGGCACGTACCGGCGCGCACCCGCGCGCGTCCGTACCCGGCCCGCACCCGCGCGCGTCCACTGCCGGCACTGACAGACCCTGACAGACGGGCGTGCTGCCGTCGGCGGTCCTGACAGATGAGCGGCGGGCCCGGCTCCCGCAGCTCCGGCAGCGGGCGGCAGCCATGGTCGGCATACACGCGCGCGCGCCCATCGTCGGCACGCAAGCGCGCGCGCGTCCATAGCCGGCGCGCACCCGTACCTGGCGCGCACCCGCGCGCGTCCGTACCCGGCCCGCACCCGCGCGCGTCCACTGCCGGCACTGACAGACCCTGACAGACGGGCGTGCTGCCGTCGGCGGTCCTGACAGATGAGCGGCGGGCCCGGCTCTCGCAGCTCCGGCAGCGGGCGGCAGCTCCGGTGACTGTTCCGGCAGCTCCGGCAGCGAGCGGCGTCTCCGGCAGCGCTCAGCAGCGGCGCCAAGCAGCAGCAGCGGCTGAGCCAACAGGCGGCCGCGGAGGCACGCCCCCCCCCCCTTTGCACATTGTTCGTCCATGGAGATGTCTGCAAGCACGCCCATTGTTGAGAAGGCACGTGCATCCATGGCTGAGCACTGAGCAGGCACGTGCGACCCCTTTGCACATTGTTCATCCATACATATCAATATAATTTACCTTATGATTAGTGTGAGTCTTACAAAATCTTAAACTCAGAAATACCACAAGGCAGGCTGCCTGGGTGAGTTGCTAATATGAACATAATGAACATTATACATTAGTGCAGTACCTATAAGCATCCATGCTGTGTGAAGGACTTGGCCCTCACGTTCATTCGTTTGGTGATTGCACATGGTGGCATGTGTACCAATTGTTCTCCCTAACCCTTCTTACAACTTTGACTAGCAAGTAGAAGCTGGCAAAATGCAAGGAGCTTACAAAGCATGCCTATATGTAGATAACTGAGGATGATTCTCTCAATTGAAGCATGATCCGCACTCAGCAGCTTCTTCTGTTCTGTTCCACAAACTAAAACTGAAATGCCTCAATTTTCCTCAAAATATATTCATTTATCACTCATAAACAACAAAAATATACATTAAGTAGGTACCAGGGCAATAAAAAACATACAAGTTACATATTTTTTCATGTACCGTCCTTTCACAGCAGCAATATGTAGAAACGCACCAAGACGTTCACGGAGAGCCCACCCATAACAAACTATAGTTGAAGCCGGGGCTCTGCTGCAGCAGCAGGGGAGACGTACAGGACACAGAGGTCATGTCACAACATCATGTTGTACAACCTGTTGTTCGAAAAAACAGATCAACATAGATCTTGAAAAACTGTAGGTAGCGCTTTCTTCAGTCACTTAGGTAAGCTTTCTCGCAAGACGTTACATTAGATTGACCACTCTTGACAAAATAATCAGATTGAAACTTAGCTCTTGTGCCTGATGCACTTACATTTCAATTTATTGAAATAAAACACTCAAATTTACCCTTGAAAATTGTTGACATTTAAATGATATTAATCAAGATTTGATGATCAGCAAACAAGCTCAAGCTATTCAAATCACACCCAAATCAAAATAATAACTTTGGCAATGTTGATAACTCTTGCTGTCTTATTGAAAAGCAAATCTTCAATTTGTTCATATCCAAATTCAATGCCAAGCACTGAAATCTTGTTGCAAGGCCCTAAAAACAACAGACAAAAACAAAACAGACAAGGCCCGTCTTGTGGAAATCGACAGTGCGGTGCGGCGGCCTTGGCGAAATTTCCCAAGGCTGCTCTTTGTTTACATTTTAGTGATGGGCCAACTTGGCCGCCCAAGTACTTGTTTTGCGTGAGTAAGTACAATTTTGTCAATTTTGAAACGGCTATATCTCGCAAATTTTGGTACCGATTTACATTTTATGCATATATTTAGAATCGGCAGAGTCTGGGGAGTTCATTGATTGTAAATTTATGCCGATTCCTTTCAATTTTTAAACCCTGATAATCCCTTTAACCCGCTCAACCCACCCTACCAAGCACGCACTGTCGCTCAATGCAAATTTTACACGCCATAAACGCCGCATCACTGTTCGTTTTGTCGAAGCTAATTGCTGCCAAATGCTAGCCTTTTTAGTAAAGATGCAGCTTTTTGCTAAAAGCGTCTTCTGCCCAGCTTCTCTCCCATGAAATTTATTTGACTTTTTGCATAATGACGGGTCATAAACTCTATAATTAGCATCAGAGTAATCGACTTCGGGCTATTATTTGTAAAAAAGGCATTATTCGGGTCAAGTGTTTTGAAAATATTTGGTTAAGGCCTCGTCAAATTTGCATTTCAAACTAGAAAGTTTTTTTAGTTATACAGTAAAATATGATGCCGAAAATGGGAAAATACGTGTGCTCTTGTTTTCCAATTTTCCAGTTAAATCCGTCATAACTAGAAAAAAAATATTATAATAATACAAAATATGTTTTAATTTATTGATGATTTGCCAAGAGTCTTCACAGATATTCAAGGAATTACTCAAGAAATTTAAATACCACCCCACAAAAGCTTCATATGGTAGCAAAAACGTGAACAGCTGTTAGGTTGACGAGGCATTACATGCGCCGACGGGACATAACCCTCTTTCCAAAACAATTCATTGGTCGATGTGGTCAGCGTTACCGCTGCTAGGGAAATTTCCCTTTTCTATGGAAATCAGCGAAGATCTAGGGATATATGGATTTCACACGAAATCTAGGGAAATAGCACCAACCCGAAAAATTGTTGTTTTTTCAACAATCGAAATCATTGTTGTTATGAATTATTCTTCCGCATGTCATACCAAATAAATATGAGAACATTTTTCAAAAATTCAGGTTTGATACCCTCGTTTTAAAAAATATAAAGGGAATTACATATGCATGCATGTACCTATATATAATTCTTGCTATTATTTCAAAACAAACTGCTTCTGCGTTGTTCTATTTCGGGTGCTGCTAATGTTTTACATCAAAGTTTTTGTTTTGGCGCGATTTTTACAATGTCTACTTCTAGCGCATATCAATATCACTTTCTTACGGTCCACTGAACTCTTACAGTCAAACTGACGGTGCAAAATAATGCATCGACTCG